TACGAGTCACCTTCAAACTTGACGACCTTCCTGAAACAGTCCAAACTATTTTTGTACATGACTTCGCCGACAAATGAGCCGGAGGTTCTTTGATTTTGCATTCGCGTCTTTACGAGATCTATAGGGTAAACGGCGGTGGCGCCACATGCTCCTGCGAGTGATCCAAGCAGGAACCGATAGGCTGATTCCAACACCTATAAAATCATATCAGTAGACTAGCAGATAATTAATTACAAAAGTCTTCCACGTCTTAAAAGAAGAGGGAGGAGCACCTACCGCCGTTCCAAAACCTCGTTCCTCCTTGCTCGCCACGGCTTTCAGGTTGATGAGGCGTTCTGTTGCTGAAACCCTCTTTAGTCGTTCCGGATCTATCAGTTCGATGTCTTTCAAAGACAATGTCTTCTTGCCAGGATGTGCTAGTTCCGAGAGATGAAAGAGGATTTCGACCTAAAATTATCTGCCTAGGAACTCTTTAAGCAATACAAATGTAGATAAACATAATGCAACTTCTTCGTCCTTAGGTATCAAGTTGTAGGACAGAGGAGTCATAATTTCAAGGAATTAGCAGCACTTTTAACGACGAAACCTTAGCAACTTTTAGCCAGTATCAGAACCAGTCTTAATGGTTGGTGCTGACTTTAGGTGGCCTTACAAGAAAATCTAGGAAGCGCAGTAAATTATTGTTGTATCTGACAAGTAAGATCAAACAGTTCTTCAATACATATTTTTACTGGAGTAAAAATGCTGCAAAAGATTTTAAAGAAAAAAGCGATGACAAATAAGGAGAAGACTTGCATCTAATAAAATGCTGACTTTCTCTAGACTCTCTATCAAAAACAAAAGCAATACGGAACTTTAAAACAACTGGAGACAGAGCTTCCTGAAAGTCGAAAGTCAAAAAGAAAAAGTTTTTTCAGGAAAACTCGAAAGATGGCAACGATCTTCATTTGATCATAAACTATTGTTGCAGTCATCTCGCCTCAGGTGAACTCACCATTAATCGTGGGTGTGAGACGCTTCCAATTTGCGTTCGCTCTTCGCCCGCTTATCAACTTTTCATTTTGATTTTGATGATTTTCTTTTCTTAATTGGAATTTGAACAAACATGCAGGATGCTTACTTAATTACCAGTGATTATGACAATTGATAGTTGACACTCACATATGGTATATTAACGCTTCTTATTAAAAAACAACAAAAGGGAGCTTGATAAACGTCACAAGGGTTTTGCTCTTTTGAAATGTGAAGCAAACACTGCTGGAATGCACAAGGTGAAGGACAGTTCTAGTCTATTTCTAAATCGTCAAAACCTTCTTTCTCCCTAAATTTTATTTTTGATGTTGAAGACGGTGAGCTTCATG